TCATTCTAGAACTAGACCCAGCTGGGGCACTCCTGGGCGTATACCCAAAGGGTTCGGTTTCCTACTACAGAAACACATGTGCGCATCCCTGTTCATTGCTGTTCGAATCACAATAGCTAGGACATGGAAACAGCCTAAATGTCCACCACCTGAAGAATGGGTAAGGAAAATGAGGTGTCTCTACAACAGAGAATTTTGTGCAGTATAAAGAAAAAATAAGTTATGGATTTGCAGGCAAATGGAACTAGAGACTGTTATACTGAGTAAGGTAACTCAGACCCAGAAAGATAAATACCACATTTTGACCCACAGATACAAAATATCACATTGAATTTTGTATTTGTAAGATTAATTCTGGGTACCTGTATAATCCAGATACTTGCTATTTGTGGATCACCCAGCTTGTTTACTTTATGCAAACCAGGTACCCAGGGACGGCACTGCCCACAAATTCCCCGATAGACTTGCCTACAGGCATATCTGACTGAATCTCTTCTTCCCAGATGGATATAGTTTATGTGAAGTTGACAAAAAACCAGCATAGTTGCTTCCCAGAACTTGATGGTAAAAGGTAAAACTCGGTTGCTGAAGACACTGTTGACTTTGGGCACAGGATGTGAATTAATCAGCTGGTGCCTGCCTAAGATGTGACCTACCTAGTGCCTAGTTTTCATAGTACTGAAAGGCTGGCTGGGAGCTAGGGTGTCATCAACAGTCATAGCCAGCTGTGAACTCTGTGACAACAAGGCAAACCCATGAATAAAATAGTGGCACAAATCTTATGAGTAGCTAGCCACTTTCTGGTTGGATTTGAGGCTCATTCCACAGAAGGAAACACATGTTTGGTAGTATAAATATGGCCCCAAACCAATGATCGGGGAGGTCATAGGCCAAAGGATGAACTACTACTGTTGTGTTGCTAAAATGCACATAGGATCGGATGGCACTCTAAATTCCTCTCTCTATATTCATAGATTACTGCGGCTCTCAGACCATGTCAGAGAAGGGTTTTTATTCTGCTAGTGAAGGCACCTAACACAGAAATTCACAACTCGTCAAAGTGTCAAGAGTATAAGTATCAGTGTAGATCTCAGCCACAAATTGGCCATCACTCCACTTCCCTCCCAGGTTCAGAGACCATCACAGACAGGAGGGAGAAAGATGGTAAGAGCCAGAAAGAGGTCAGGGAGGACTGATGCAAAACAGTGTCCCCTGGACAGCACAGGAGCACTGTCCCTGTTGGCACAAGACCCTTACAAGATCAAATCACTCAACATCCCCGCCTGTAGGGGGAGGAGCTCATGCGCCCCCATCCCTAACCTAGGGGCTGTTTACAGTTGGTGGCTTCTAGGAGACTAAGAGTCAGCTTTCTTTAAGGGTGTGGGGCATGGTAGGTTGGCCACTCTAGTGGATGGCCTCCCCCACAGGAGTAGATGAGCCGCACAAATTGGACTGAATGAGTTATCTTTTAAGGGGAAGAGGTGAAGTTGGGTGGGGATGTGGAGTAGGGGACTGATCCAGGAGGAGTTAAGAGGAGAAGTGAAGGTGGAGATGATAAAGATACATTGTATGTATATATGAATTTTTCAGAACAAATAAACAATTTTACTCTTAGAAGAGTTGCCATAGCTTTCCAGGACCCTCACCTCTTATTCTCAAAGGGTCAAGAAGAAATTTCCTAGCAGAACGTTTTCCCAGGAAGATAGTGGCCTTCCCCTCTCCCACCCAGGAGATTCCGAGCACAAGGTCACTTAGCTCAGCCCAGCCAGCCACCTGGTACAGGCTGATAAAGATGGCCTAACTCAAGAACAAGTGGCCTTGGGGGCTGGAGAGTTGGCTCAGAGGTTAAGAGCATTGCCTGCTCTTCCAAATGTCCTGAGTTCAATTCCCAGCAACCACATGGTGGCTCACAACCATCTGTAATGAGGTCTGGCGCCCTCTTCTGGCCTGCAGGCATACAGACAGAACATTGTATACATAATAAATAAATATTTTTAAAAAAAAGTTTAAAAAAGAACAGTGGCCTTGCTCTAAGAACAAGGAGAAAGCTGACTTAACGGAATGGGAGGGAGCAAAAGTCCTTGTACCCGTGCCAAAGCAGCATCAAAGATTCTCTTTAAAAGCTCACCCCACAGAGGAGACACAACTCCTCTCTGCCTTGTTGTAACGGGGATGGAGAGGAGTTCCAACATGTTTGTGTTATGATGATTAAACCTTGCTTATTACAGTCTGGGCCTCTCTGGTGGTCCCTCTCTGGGGATCGTAATCTGGACACAACAGGCTGGATTGTGTTTTTCTAACACACCACTTAGCCAGCCCTTTGAAGGCACTGTTGTGCTTTGTTGTGAAGGCCAGTAGTATTTCATCGGATCTATATAAGATGGCTTTGAAATAGCACCAGGAACGCCCAACTCTCACCACCTTTGCTGTTCCAACAGGACTCTCTCCGCTGGGTTGTTCCACTAGACACCAGTGAGGTTGTGCTCTTCCACCCTTTCCGCCCTCACTGCCAAGTCTCAGTAGAGGGTGAGAAAAATAGCTCTAAATATAAACCACGGTACTTCTCAAACTCTGTAGGGTTCCCATCTCACTTGCTGAGAATAAAAATCTCGTGAAAAAAGAACATGATAACTTTTGTGAAAGAAATGGGGATTATCTAGCCATACTAGCTTGTAAATGCATAAAAGAAGTTCTGATTAGAGCTGGAGAGATGGCTTAATGGTTAAAAGCACTGATTGTTCTTCCAGAGGACCCAGGTTTGATTCCCAGCACCCACATGGCAGCTCACAACTGTCTATAATTCCAATTTCAGGGGGTCTGGCACTCTTACACAGACATTCATGCAGGCAAAACACCAATGCACATAAAAATAAATATATTTTAAAAAAGAAGTCTTGGTAGGATACACTAATAAACTAATGAGGGGGTTGAAGACGAAAACCCACATTCTGTGAGCTGGCTTATAAGTCCTTCTAGAATAATGTTTTGAATACAGACTGCCTATCATTTTGTGTTTTTTTAAAAAAATATTTATTTATTTATTTATTTATTTATTTATTTATTTATTTATTATGCATACAATATTCTGTCTGTGTGTATGCCTGCAGGCCAGAAGAGGGCACCAGACCCCATTACAGATGGTTGTGAGCCACCATGAGGTTGCTGGGAATTGAACTCAGGACCTTTGGAAGAGCAGGCAATGCTCTTAACCTCTGAGCCATCTCTCCAATCCCTTGTGTTATTTTTCTATTGCTGTGATAAAACTCCATAACCAAGGCAACTTATAGAAGGCAGGATTTATATGGGTTTACAGTTCCAAAGGGATAAGAGTCTGTCGTGGTGGAAAGCGCGGTAGCAAGCAGCAGACTGGAGCAGGATCCCGAGGGCTCACATCTTAAATCACAAGCAGAAAGCAGAGACACAGAATTTGAAATGGCACTTGGCTTTGAAACCTCAAAGCCTACCCCTGGTGTCATACCTCCTCAAACAAGGAGACAGCTGCTAAATCTACTGAAACAATGCCACTAGCTGGGGATCAAGTTTCCAAAGATCGGCGCCTGTGAGAAACGTCCACATTCAATTCACCACATGGCCTTAATCCAGTGGTTCTCAATCTGCGGGTCTCAACCCCTTTGTGGGTCTACTATCCCCTTCCCAGGGTCACATATTAGAGAGCCTGCACACTAGATATTTACATTACGATTCATGACAGCAGCAAAATTCTGACGTAGGGTAAAAGGGACAACTGGAGCAGGAAACCCACCAATCACTTAGCACCCTGACTCTGAACCCAGAGTCAGTGAGAAGGAACACACCCTGTATTTGAGACCTGGGCCAGGAAGAGAAACATCTTTATCCCTGAACCCAGGACCAAAGAAAAATGCCCTGACTCTGAAACTAGTGTCAAAGAAACACACCCTGTCCCTAGAATCAGAGCCAGTGAAAGAAGTATGTTCTGGTCCTAAGATTAGAGTCAAAAAGCTAAAAAGGGTCAGTCAAAGAAACACAGTTTGTCCATAAAGTCAGAGTCACCTCTGCCACTGACCAGCTAAACTGTCCAATCCCTGAGCAGGGGAAAAACTAACCAATCCCTCTTCTCCCTGGGAAAACTCTGCCCCTAAGAAGCCCTATATAAGCCTCTCTGCCCCTTCAGTTAAAGGCTGCCATTAATCCCTCCCTGGCAGAGGCAGCCACTCTCCTGGACTACTCTTTTCCAAATCAATCTCTTTCTCAAGACTCTTGGGTGATGAACTTCATTCACTGCTGCAGACTAGAAGAACCTGGCTGGGACCTTCCTTAGGGGACTGAGCTGAAAAACCTTGCTGAGACGTTCCCTAAGGGGCCTCAGCAAGGCAGAGCAGAACAGAAGAATCTTGCTAGAATGCTCCTTAAGGGGGATTGAGCAAAGCCAGGCAGATAAAAAGTAACAACTTTTCACCAGAACCAGAGGAGATTGTTACATTTCTGCAGGGGCTTCCCCTTTAGCAGAGTTAGCAAAAGAAGAAACATCTTTAGCCTGAGAAGCAAATAGCTCCGCTAGGATGTTCACTTAAGGGAACAGAGCAGAACTCAGCTGTAGCTGCTCTCCAGGAGAAGAGCAAGATTGCTATATCCTGCGGGGAGACCAGCCCCCAACTTGGGTAGCCTGGCTTCCTGATAGTTAGGACACCTTTTCTCCAGGGCTGAGCTGTCCTATTGCTGCTCTATCCTCCAAGGCTGAGCTGTCCTATTGAGGCTCCACCCCTCCAGAGTTGTCCTAATGCAGCTCCAGCTTCCAGAGCTGTCTTATTGCTGCTCTATCCTCCAGGGTTGAGCTGTCCTATGGCAGTTCTATCCTCCAGAGCTGTCCTATTGCGACTCCACCCCTCCAGAGCTGTCCTATGTTGCGGGAGGTCCTTCCGCCCCTCCAACCAATAGCTGCTGTGATACCAGCCCATTGGGGCGTGGTCTCTCTCCCTTTAAAAAAGCGGCTATTTTTCTCTGCTCGCTCTCTTCACTTCCTGCTCCTCCGGAGACTAGACTCCCTTCCTGGTTGTGCAGATGGCTGTTGTGATCTGTAAGTTTTTTCCCCTTTAAATAAATAACACCCTATTAATCATAACTCCAAACTGGTGTGGCCTTGTTCGTGACTTACGCCTTCAGTCCTATTGCGGCTCCACCCCTCCAGAGCTGTCCTATTGCAGCTCTAAGTATATCCTGGCTTCCTGATAAGTCAGGATATCTCTAACACTACAACTGTAACACATTCCCCTACAGTAGCAATGAAAATAGTTTTATAGTTGGGGGTTACCACAACATGAGGAACTGTATTAAAGGGTAACAGCAGTAGGAAGGTTGAGGACCACTGCTGAAGCTGTTCATACCTTTAATCCCTGAATTCAGGAGACAGAAGTAGGCTGATCTCTCTGAGTTCAAGGCCAACCTGGTCTTTGTAGTGAGTTCTAGGCCAGCCAGGGCTGCTTAAGTGAGATCCTGTCTCAAACAAATAAAAGCATTAATCTAAGGGCATGGGAGAGAGCTCAGTTGATACAGTGCTTACCATGAGTGCATGAGGACCTGAGTTCAATCCTCAGCACCACATAAAAAGTCAGGTGCAATGATGGTCCACATCTATAATCCCAGCACTGGGGAAGTAGAAGCAGGAGGATCCCTGGGGCTTGCTGATCAGCTAGCTAGTCTAGCAAACTCAAGGGTCAATAAAGGTTTTTTTTTTTTTCAAAGAAGTAAGATGAAGGGCTGATGAGGTGGCTCACATGGTAAAGGCACTTGAAGCCAAACCTAAAAGCCTGAATTTGATTCTGGAAACACATGGTGGAGAGGAAATCGAGAATTGACCCGTGATAGTTGCTGTTAGCCCCAGAGCATTGCCCCCCCCCCCCCCGCATTCACATGCAAAATAGGCAAATAAATGCTAATAATAATATAAATTCAAAAAAAGGCGGGAGTGATTGAAGAACACACCCATTGTTGATCGGACCTCTACCTGCAATGTGCAAAGACATGCACACACACACACACACACACACACACACACACACACCCATGGCAGGTCTCACAGCTAGCCTCGTCTTCCACTGGTTTTGCCACTGATAACATCTGACATGTGAGTTCTGATGAGAACAAGTTGTCTGGGTTACTTTTCTGGATTGAAAGACACTTTGCCTGAGAACATTTACCCTTCGCTTGGTCCTGCAAATGGCTGAGCAGAAGGCTTGGTGTTTCTGCCCTTACTATTGCATCTGGCTCCTTTCTTGCCTTAATCTTTGCATTGGGTTCTATTCAGGTCTGTACATACACATACCAACCATTTAAGAAAGAATTTGCTCAGAATTATGATCTAGGGTTCACTAGCTCTAGACTTAACTTAGCCTTTCTCCTCCCCTTCCAAGGCTAATGCCACCTACCTACCAGCAACCGTGAGAAGTACCAGAGCATAGAAGAATGCCAAGCGCGGTGTGAAGAAAAGTCAGGTATATCCCTTTTATTAGCCCATCACCTTCATTAGTCCTGGATTTGTAAGCTCCCGGTTTGCTGCAGTTGAGACGTTTCCTGTGAGCAGGGCTCTCGCTTCTCTAATCTCCATGGAATCAAGCCTTTCCCAAGCAGTCTCAAGCAACCATGAGTGCCACACCTAGGTCACTGTGTTAATTGCTTGTGTATATTTGTCTGAATTGTCCATTTGTATGGGCTTCTTCCAGACAAGGATTATAATTGGTTTCCATCTGTCTTCCTTCCCAGCTGCATAGACCCTTCATAAAGGAAGTACTTAGAATGTTTGCTGAATTTTGTTACTCTGTGGGTTGATGAACATTCATCATGAAAAACTGTGGCTTTCTCCTTTAAAGCCCTGATGCCTGTGAACTACCCAAAGTAACTCCATTTTGTCCTAGTTTTAACTCACTCACCCAATGGCCCCTCAAGCCCTTACCCCCATCCTCCCAGCTAACCACATCCTGCTAAGCAGAACATTCTCATTCTGCAGCGTCGGTCTACAGGTCCATTAGTCTACAATATAAAACAAACTGAATCAACTGAACTAAAACTTTTGAAAGCACTTCCCCCACCTCCCACCCCCCACGGTAGCCTGCCTTTGGTGTGATGGAATTGAGGTTTTTAGTTTATAAATCCTGCCCTGCCTCACTCGGAGTCAATAGTCTTTTCTGGTGTGAGCTTGCTTTCCACCTCTGGGAAACAAAGGACTCTTAATGTGACCTTCATTGAGTGGCATTCTTCCCTGTGTCTCGCGTGGGTACAACAACTGAACACTACCGTCTAAGACTGGTATGAACAACTCTAAGGAAAGCGGATTATCACCTTCATCTTAGCTCATTTCTATCAATAGACTGTGGGCCCAAGATCTCAATACCTTATTTATATCACATTATCAAGGTAGTCATGAAGGATTAAGATCTTATTAAAGTTAACAAGCCAGCCTTTAAGTCCTGCCCCCTCAGCTAATTCACTACCTAACAAATTGCTCTGCTCAGTCAATGGCTGCAACTCTGACTATACATTCAACTCAGCTGGAGAGCTTTCAATCAACCTCTTACTCTGGCCTCCACACAGAGAAGGCATATTAGAGCCTCCAGGGTGGGTGTCAGGCATCAGGAGGTTTGAAACTCCCCGGGTGATCCCAATGAGGGCCAGAGTGGAAAATGAGACTAGCTGATAGATAAGGCACTCTCATGGCTCTGACTGCTTCCTTTCCCCCTCCCCTGGTCCACCGGCTTCTCCAAGACCCTTCCTCTCCTCCCTTGCCGGCCTTCTGGCTGCTCACCCATTGTCTGATAATACAGAGTCGGTAAGCCTGGGGCTCTGTCATCTTGCGATCATGGGCAAACCGTACCCCCTCAGGCTCATGGTTTCTTCTCCAATTTAGTAATAACACCTGTGCTCACAGTAATAAGGGACTCTGAAGCCCTTGGCTGCTGAGGAACAACATGCAAATGTAAGAGCTATCGAGAGCCCTGAGTACCAATGTTTAGGGATAAAAAGCCACTTGTAGAAGGTGCCACATAGAGTTAACACGGGTCTAAAGTTTCAATCCAGGCAAACGAAACTGTATTGTGACTAAAAGCTACTAGGAAAGCATTTCTGGGTATAGTCATGTAAAATGAAAGAACAAAATATCTACAGGGATAAAAAAGTCCACACTCAGGATGAGAGTAACCGTGGAGGGGTGGGGTACATGATGTACCTAGGAAGTGGAGCAAATATATCTTTAATGCTTTATGTCAAAAAGATTAGTTTTGTTTGTGTGTGTCTCTATATTTCTTGTGCTTTTTGGCTTGTTTTTTTCCCCCTGGGTTCTTTTTTTCTGTTTTCTGTAGCGACTAGTGTTATGTCAACTTGACATAAGTTAGACTTATCTGAAAGGAGGGAACCTCAATTGTTGGGAGCCACCTTTTTGGGGTGACTTCTGCTGTGATCTTAGCCACGGTGGGTTCACACATTCCAGGGTAGGGGCCTGAGGATTAGAATTGTTAGGGTAGGAGGAACAGAGATAAGGAAGAATCACAGAGACATAGGAAAGTCTCGGGAGGGCAACTAAGTGAACACTGAATGCTGAGTCCTGAGTTTGCCCGTGTTTAATTTCCATACACTTTTATACCCAAATACAAAAGGGGGAAAAGGCAAAGCGCTGCTTTAATATGACACAAAGGACAACTAGATCAGGACACACACACACACATACAATACACTTTACAATAGTAAAGCAATGGGCTGCATCTCTTCCTTGAGGAGCCTGTACCCACACTTGGATATGGTTTACTTTCCACTAAGCACCTCTTTTTCTCCCTAACCCTCACACATAAGCCTATATTAAAGTATCATTAGTAAAATCTCCAATTCTGCTTCATAAACCAGCTGGTTCTGAAATAGTTTCAGAGTTGAAGCCACAAGTCCTGACTTGGCCTGCTTCTAGGAGATTCTAAAACTCCTCAAGTTGATGAGGGTGACATTGCCTCTTTTCCCCGTACCCCGAAGCACTGACAGAATTTTCCAATGTCACGTCACTAGTCAGAAGTAAGCAAGACTTCACACTCAGGAAGCTTGGCCCTCCTGGAGCCTTTTTTCTGAGTACAAGCGGTCGCCATGACCTGAAGAAAAGAACAAGTAGCTCTCCATAGTTACCAGAGAGTTGGAGAGCTGCTCCACTGTCCCCTGGGACTTAATTGACCTTTGAAGACAGGAGGGAAAACATTGCCTCCTTTTCTCAGTCCCTCTGAGCATATCAGTACTGGCATTTAAAATATGATGTTCACCTAGAAAATCAGCCAGACCCATCTGGTGCTTTTGTTTCGTTTATTGACACAGAGTTTCTCTGTGTAACAGCTCTAGCTGTCCTGGAACTAGCTCTGTAGACCAGGATGACCTCAAACTCAGAGATCCTCGCGTCCTCTGCGTCTGAGATTAAAGGCGGGCACCACCACTGCCTGGCCATATGTGCTACTTTTAATAACTACTGTGTAATAGTTAGTAGAGTTGGGGCCAAACCTAAACACTTTTTAATTTTTTTTATTTTATTTTCGAGACAGGGTTTCTCTGTAGCTTTGGAGCCTGTCCTGAAACTCACTTTGTAGACCAGGCTGGCCTGGAACTCACAGAAATCCACCTGTCTCTGCCTTCCAAGTACTAGGATTAAAGGCGTGTGCCACCACCGCCCGGCGTGTTTTGCCTTTATTTATGTGTATGCACCAAGTCCATGCCTAGTGCCTGTGGAGGTCAGAAGAATATGTTGTATTCCCTGGAACTGGAGTTACAGACAGTTGTGAGCAGCCATGTGGGTGCTGGAATCAAACCTGGGTCCTCTGGAAGAGCAGTCAGTGCTTTTAACAGTCAAGCCATGTCTCCAACCCCTCATTCCCCAACACTTTTAAATAAATTGATTAGAGATGCATTTAAGAAGAAGTTTGACATCAATTTATTTAACTTTGATTTTGGAAATTTCAGTACCATATATATATACAGCCTTGTCTGTTATGTACTTTTATGTGACTTGCTCAGACTTTTATAACTTGCTTTTCAATCTTCTTTCTTTCTTTCTTTCTTTCTTTCTTTCTTTCTTTCTTTCTTTCTTTTGGTTTTTCGAGACTGGGTTTCTCTGTTTCTCTGTAGCTTTGGAGCCTTCAATCCTTCATTTTGGAAAAACATCCAGCCCCTTAGTCTTAATCAACAATTAACAAGCCCAGCTGTGATGCTGTAGACGCAGACACAGCTGGTCTTAGGAAGTTAGCAATTGTTTGACTTAGAGGATAGTATATGCAGCACCACCTTAAGAAAGCTGAGTACAAGCTACATATAGGAAAGTGTAATAAATTAATATTACCTGTATTTATACTGCTAAATGATGGAGCTTTATAAGTCTCCAAGTAAATCTTACAGAAAACACGAGATGGTAAAAAAAAAAAATCTCTTTCTGTGCTTTGTACAGTCCAGAGAGTGGTCTGCCATGACTGTATTCAGAACACGATCCAAGAATGGAGTGCTTGGGAGAAAGCTCCAAGAAACCAAGACAAAAGTCCTGTGGCCTCAGTTTCTTCAAAAACACAGCATCATTCTTGGATTGTGTTTTCGTACCCCTCCCCCTGTAGTATACAGGAGTGAGTTTACTTTAGATCATTCATTACAGCTGGCTGTTGCTATTTATATGCTCTATGGGAAAACGTGGTTTTGCCACGTCCATCTTGTCTACTGCATGTGGCTGATCCTTGAGACTGGACACTTTACTCATGGGATTCTTTTTTTTTTCTTTGTCTTTTTTTGAGACAGGGTTTCTCTGTAGCTTTGGAGCCTGTCCTGGAACTCGCTCTTGTAGACCAGGCTGGTCTTGAACTCACAGAGATCTACTTGCCTCTGCCTCCCAAGTGCTGGGATGAAAGGTGTGCGCCACCACTGCTTGGCTACTCATTTGATTCTTATCTCTCAGAATATAAATTGTCTGATGTTCTGAATAAAGTTGGCTATTACATGAGACTTTAGTTCACCTCATTTTTAGGCTCCATTCTCCCAGGTTCACACTGCCAACTAAAGCAGTAAACTGCTATACTTTGGGTTTTGAATGAGGTGCTGGTAACATCATTCAAAAGCAACAATATATAGTAAAACATCATCAAATTGATACTTACAACAACCAACACAACTCACTATTACATATAGTAAATGCAAAACTGTCCACATAATGCTTCCAAGAGGGCTTGAGAAATGGCTCTGCAAGTTAAGTGTGTATTGCTCTTACAGAGGACCAAGATCAGTTTCCTTCCAGGACCCACATCAGAAGGTTCACAAATACCTGTACCTTCAATTCCAGGGGATCAGATACTCTTTTCTGCCCACCGTGAGAACCCATACATGGGCTAGTACAGACATGAGCTGGATTTTTGAAACCCCATGCCCAGCCTGGATGCAGGAGGAGGAGCTTGGTCCTGCCTCAACTTAATATGCCATGTTTTGTTGACTCCCATGGGGG